CTTTTGTTCATCTGGGCAGCATCACAGATGGCTGTCATCAGAGACACTGGGCATCTTAGTTATATCCAGTTCTGCTTTGGTTGTCAAATATGACCCTAATTGAACCCCAACTTCAAACTCCAGTATCTGCACACACAGATGAGGTGGTGAATACAGATAGGTATGGCAATTAATGAGCCACCATCTGCTAAGCATCACACTTTGAGTGGGACTTAACATGGTTATGAGTTTCTTTGAACATTTCCCCCCACCATATGTGCTTAAAGGATCCAAAAAGGAAACAGCTTAATCTAGGAATGTGAAAAAGAATGGTGACATTCTGTGGTGTGCCACCGAAAGAAGAAACTCATCAAGCACCATCTATTTCAGGGATTTTGTGGTATTTTGTGGTTGCAGGCATGTAGTCTGTGACAAAACGGCCCTGTTGGGATGACTTAGCATATGTGTGGGGTATAGAGGAGCACCATGATGTGGCTGCTACTTCTAAGATTTATTTTGGACTTTGTCCTGGAGTAAGTAGACATACATACAGAAAATACTCCTTTTCTCCCAAGGGCCTGAGACAGTATCTATGCTATGTGGCTTACCCATGTTCTTCCCAGTGGAAACAGCTTTCTGGACTAGGTTTTCCTGCACTTTGTTTATACCTGTGTGATAGCACTCATCCAATCCTGTCCATCTGCACAGCCTCTTACAGCTCTGTTTTCTTCCTCCACCAACCTAAAGCTCCCTGAGGGTATGCATAGACTTTGTTCTTTCATCTTTGCAGAACCCAGTGGGACCCAGCACCATGACTTACATTGAAAGTGCTTAATATATCTTGAGTTAAAATAAAATTGCTTCCAGAAAAAAAAACAGAGAAGATACCTCAAGTATTTTTAGAAATGACATATTGTAGATTAACAACTTAATTGACTATATCTTTGCATTACGTCCTGAAAAGAAGTGTGATATTACCAGAAAAAAGAAGGTCTCACTTTTTATGAGAGTTAGTGCATGATTTTGGTTAAACCACATGGATTTAATCCAAATATTCAAAATAAGGAAGGCTATTGCTTTGAATCTTGGCACTAGGACAAAACGGTGAAAGTCTCTTACAATATTCATGGCCAGCAACATTAGCTTAGCATAAATATGTCAATAAATCATTGCCACAGCTCTAGAATACCTGAAGGAGTGTATGTTTGTGTGTGTGTGTGTGTGTGTCTGTGTGTCTGTGTGTGTGTGTGCATGTATATGTGTGTGCATGCGTGTATGCAGACATTTTTATAAGGAAGCATTTATTAGAAGAACTTCTGACTGTAAAGTTTGATATGATCAGTGCCACAGAACTCCCAGATATTATGGCAAATATGCCTGAAGAAGCAAGTGTTTTGTTTTCTAAATACTTAAATTTAGTCAACATATCAGTTGTGATGTTTAGATGCTATGGGAATACGTACAAAAAAGGACTCCAAAGGAATACACTGGGTTAATCTCTATCCTAGAGTGGGAAACGGCAAGGTGACATAAAGTGACATTGAGGAGGTCGCATCTGGGAACAGCATCTGTGATAACTGCAAGAAGGGTTGATCTTGGAATCCTGGGGGCCAAGGAGGAGGTTTCATGTCAATCCTGATGTGAGGTGCTGGAGACACAGCAACATCAAGGGGCAGAAACACAGGGGGATGAATGGTTATAGAAGACACTTCAAAGGAAAAAGCTCTGTAACTTAGATAGTTGTGAAATACTGAATTTAAGTGGTATATGTGAATTGTCAACAAGAGCGAAAGAGAGGTTAGGAGGGGCAGCTACAGCACAAGGAAACAAGAGTTTGAGTTTTGGACATGTTGAGTTCAATACAGTGAGACACCCAGGTGGAAATTCTCTCCTCTCCCTGTCATTTCAGGACACAGCTGCTTTGTGAGGGATGCATTGGGGTATTTTATCTGAGGACAGCAAAGAGAAATTTAAGACAAGTGAAGAAAGCAAAGTTTGAAAATGTTTAGGTCCCAGCATGGCAGGTCCTGAGCCACGACATTCTGATGTGCTCTGGCCGGACACATTCAATCTCCTATCATCTTGAATCTGTGCCAGGCTAAACGTCCTCATACCTTGACTATATTTTGGTGTGGATTTCTACTTCTACTCCTCTGTAAGCATCCAGCATGTAACAAGTTATTAGACTAGTCCAACTATATGACTTAAACATGTGGAAAATTACTTATTTTCCAATAATCCTAAACACTGAAGCCTCCAAATATACTGGATGGACATAAAATTGGAGTTATAATCTGAGTTCAGCACTGGTGTTTCTGGTATTACCATTTAGACAACATTTGGGCCATCCTTTGAGAACTAACTCAAAAGTCTCTTTGCAGCCTGCCTGACTCCCCCAGGCACCTAGTCTTTTCACTGACCATCTTCCCACAACACTTTGTTTATATTTCTGGTGCAACATTTGCCTCTTGTTCTGTTTGTGGTTCTTTTCCTTGCCACTAGACTGGGAGCAACTTGAAGATGGGAACCATTTCCGCATCTCCAGATTCCTTACTTCTTTAGTAGAGCAGTGGTTGATGGGTGATAAGTCATCACTGAAAATATCCAACAGGGATTTTGAAAACATGGGTGAAGCAATGTGCCTTTGCTATAGGAAAGCCAGTATCCACATCACATGTCACTTCTCTCCGACGCTGCTAACACTGCACCAGCAGAGGCAGCTCTTTCATTACACACTGCTGGCCCATATTTGTAATGTGTGACATTTTTTATGAAATACTGTCAAAGGCAATCCATCATAGAGTAACCTTTGGATTATATACTGAGACTGGTTTTAAACAGAGATGTAAATGAACCTCAAGGATGATACTACTTTCTTAGAAGGGCATGATCAAAAGAGTTCTGGTTAGGAAAGTGAGGCAGAACAGTCTGTTCTTTTAAGTTAAACAGCAATGTCTGAAAAAGGTTTCTTCTGTCTGACTCCACTTGGGAACAGGGTTATTGTGATGATGATGATGTGACTATGAAATGTGGCTAAATATTTGTCTCTTATACATCAGGTGAGGATGTGATGAAGGCATGCTAATGGGCTGACAATCTTTGGGACTGTCCAGATTTGTAATAACTTTATCTCCAGGGGCACTTTTAATATAAAAAGACACAGGACAACCTAAGTGAATTTCAGGTGTCAGTTGTGGACTCACTGTCAAAGGTGCTTTGCCTGTGTATGGGTAAAGATCTAGGATTTTGCACATATTATGGAATATAAATAAAAGAAAGCTGGTAAGACTCATCATTTCTGTGTAAATCCTGATATCTTTGCCTGGCTTAGTGTTTCCTGTTAAGGGAAGGCTTATTGTGAGAGACACACTAAAACTGTAATTCTTCGTCTTCCTTAATTAGACTTGGAGCTCACCACAGTTCTTGCTGAAGCTGTGGGAAAATCCAAGCAATAATTCACATTGTTAGGTCAGCAGAAATGGACATGGGGGTCTGATGTGACAAAGATCTGCTTAAGTGATCTATCTGTGAATTGAATCGCTCAGAAGAGGTACAAGCTTTGCCATGGAAAATACCCCCTGAAGATGTTGAGCACAAACAGCAATGAAAATAAAACCCAGCAAATTCCTCATGCCACCTATACAGATGCCATTCCAGGGACGATAGATAAATCATGCTAATACCAACTGATGTGGGGCACTAATTAATAAGTCCCATTAAATCACGGAGTAATGACATTTAGCATCTAATGAATGCTTCATAATCTCTTGAATCATTAATATTTCATAGCATTAGGACATAAGGCTTGCCATCCTGGGCTTGTGCAGCATGATTTCCTGTCTCTGACGTGGCCCCAAGGGCGTTAGATGGAACGAGGGTACTCACCTAGCTGTGCAGACTGTATCCATGCATAATTAACTCTACCCTGGTCCTAAGGTTTCCTCCTTTTAAGAAAATGAGAACCTGCCTGCTATTCTTGGAATGAACATCTGCGACTGACTAGAGTTGGAACAGGAGAGCTCAGATTTGACCAGAGTCAGATTTGACTACTTTCTTGTTGACCTCAAAGCCCACCAGAGAAACTTGCACGGGAGAAAACCATTCCTTTGATTTATTACTGGGGGCTTGCTTTATTCAAAGGCAATAATCACTTGGCAGAGCAGGTGCCATTGCAAGGCCTCCTTATTGATCCAGGAGGCCGTCAGTCACCCAGGCGGGATGTGGATCTGGCCTAGAAAAAAGAAGTCCATCTCAGAGCAGGCGGAAATGAAGTGGGCGGGAATCTCTAACCGTGGCTCTGTCACTGGGGGTACTCTGGGTGTCTTCTCTCAGAAGAGGGGCTGGTGCGGAGGAAAACTTCCAGGCTGCTTTGAGCCAGTGAGAGGGAAAGCTTGTCTACAGAGTGAGCTGCCCAGGGGTGTACCAGGCTGCATCCTTCAGGAGGCAGGAGAACAGGTCCACCGCTTCTGAGCACGAGTCTAGAGTTAAATGCGGCCAGGCAGAGGGAATTGGATGGTATTTGCTCCTGGGGGCAAAACCGGTACACTGGGCAAAATCAACTTGGACAAGTGACAAGGCTCAGGCCCGATGTCAGTGGATGGTCTTCTGAGGTCGTAGTAGGGAAAGGACCAGAGGTGGTGTGCTGAGGGGGTGAGGTGGAGAGAGAGGCTTTGGAATCCAGGCAGGGATATAAGGGCTGCCAGAGCCCGGGATGCCGAGGGTTAGCAGGAGTGGGGAAACAGCAATTGGAAGAGTTGAGGAAAAGTAAGGGCGAAGTAGGAACGGGATTAAGTGGAGGAAGGAAGGCCAGAGAGCAAAGTGAGGGCAGAAAACAGAGGAAGGAGAGAAGAGGGGTCTCGAGCGAGGAAGGAGGACCGTGGCAGCTGGAGGCAGGGAGAGGGGCACGGGCGTGAGCGGCTGGGGAGGGGGATCGCCGGACAGTGAGCGGTGAGGGAGGGCGCGGACCGGCGGGGAGGAGGGCCCGGGGGAGAGGAGTGGGAGGGCAGGCGGGCGGGCGCAGGAGGGAGTGCGGGGCAGGTGGCGGGGAGGGCGGGTGCGCGGCGGAGCGCCGAGGCCAAGTGCATTGTGTCTGGTGGCGGCGGCTGCGGCGGGCCGAGAAGCCATGGAGCCGCGGGCGCTCGTCACCGCACTCAGCCTCGGCCTCAGCCTCTGCTCCCTGGGGCTGCTCGTCACGGCCATCTTCACCGATCACTGGTACGAGACCGACCCCCGGCGCCACAAGGAGAGCTGCGAGCGCAGCCGCGCGGGCGCCGATCCCCCGGACCAGAAGAACCGCCTGATGCCGCTGTCACACCTGCCGCTGCGGGACTCGCCGCCCCTGGGGCGCCGGCTGTTCCCCGGTGGCCCCGGGCGCGGAGACCCCGAGTCCTGGCGCTCGCTGCTGGGGCTCGGCGGGCTGGACGCTGAGTGTGGCCGGCCGCTGTTCGCCACCTACTCGGGCCTCTGGAGGAAGTGCTACTTCCTGGGCATCGACCGGGACATCGACACCCTCATCCTGAAAGGTGAGCAGAGGGCGCGCCCCGCTTCCCCGCGTCCGCGCGTGGAGCGCAGCCCGGGCATCCCAGGGGCGCGAGGGTCCCCGAGGTTGCCTCCCAGCGCCGCGCTCCGCTGCCGGGCGCATTCTTTCATCCTTCCCCGGCGCCTCCCTGCCTTTCTCCGGTTCCTCTCCGCTTCCCTCTGCCTCTTCTTGCCTCTGACTTCATCCTGCCCTTCTTTTACCCTTTCTCGGACTCGGCTTTACCCCTTGTCGCTGTCTCTTCCTATCTCTCTCCTCTTTCCTTCTTCTGTCGGTGCACCTGCCTGACCTGGAATGCCTGTGGTGCTTTTCTTGACTCTGCTCTCAGGGAGGGTAACACTCAAAAACCCCTGGTCTTTGTCAACTAGATTCCTTCCCTCAAGTTGTGTTTTCCTTTGAGAAATACCCTCTGAAAGAAATGTGGCATAAACCTCAGAAGAGCGGAAGGGGGATTGTGCTGATGCTGGTTGGCATCTCGTTAAACCCAGGTGGGCAGCCTAGCCTAGAGGGTTCATGGGGAGCAAAGGAGGCCTGAGGAGCCTCCCTCCAAGCACCTCAAGTTCAGGGTTGGACTTCACATGCCTGTAACTCACTGGTGAAGACAGCTAAAGGCAGATAAGATACTATTTTATTCATTACTCCACCTTCCAGACGACCCCACCCCCACCCTCTGCAGGGTCAAGGCAAGAGCTGAGAAGGGCCAATGGCCAAGTCTTTGAAAGTAAACTTAGGCAGAGACTTTGCATGCCACCTCTTATGATTGAGACTCTTTATGAGGCTCTATTTGTTTTCATTACTTGGTACTAAGTTGTAGAGCATTGCTTGGCTCTTCTGAATCTTTGCAACACCTGGCTCAAGTGTATGCAATCAGGTAGTTTGAATCTTTTTTGTAATCCCATTCATGTAAAAATATTAAGTGTGACAGTCCTATTTTGTAGTGCTTCTTTAACCTGTAGTACACAACCCTTAACAGAATTATTCCCTGATAGAAAAATAAATATATAAGTAAATAAACCTCTTTCCTTAGAGTTATTATTCCAAAAGAAGTCCAAAGTCATGCATTTTAAACATAATAGCAAGCAAACAGATGTACACTGAATTACAGCTTCCGATGGAATTGCATAGAAAGGAGGGGTTAATAATGTGCTGGCCTTCCAGTATTGTTGGTTGGCATAGTCTTCCTTTCTCAAACATGTCAATTTCCTCCTGCCCATGGCTAGCCCAGCTGGGGACTGCCATCCAAATCTGTCTATACATGGAAGGACTCCAGCAATTTGGGGAAGGGAGAGTCAGATACAACAATGTTCCTTTGGGTAGTGCACCTTTTTCTTTTCTCTCCTAACTTGTCTCTGAATCTGATTTCTCCTCATGAAGATGCTGCATAATTAATTCTGATAGTAGCATAGTACACGAACAAACTGTAAAAGCTGATTGTGGAGGCTTGGTTATGGAATGCTCATTTAGGCAAGGCAATTTTGAAAGTTAAGCAGTGTAGTCTGTCTTTAGGAATGACAGAACTGCATTTCTGCACAGTCTTTCTATGCCTAGAGTATTTCATTGCATGCAATTTGGGTAGAGTCTAGTGTCTGAAGCAGCAGGCCAGAGTCCAACCCACAGCAGAACTCCCACAGGATGCTCCAGGGTACTTCTGGAAGTTCTCTGGCTAGATGAGTACCCAGCTCCTCTAAGAATCAAATGATCTTAGAGGTGGAAGGACTTTATTAGAGATCAGTGAATCCAACCTTTCACCCATTGTTCTAATCCCCTCCTACAATTTCTGACAAATGGTTGTGCACTCCAGTACTTCTACCACAGAACTAATGAAATGAACTAGATTGTTCTGGTCATGAATGTATCTTTTATATGAAACAATATCTCACATTTATCCTATTGATAGTGGGTAGTTAATCCTTTGTGGCAGACACTGGAAAATTCTAGCCAATCAGAAGACAAGGAGTTCAACACTGGCTATGTCCCTAACTGGTACCATGTTCCCCCCATAAGAATCCAAACTCCATTGGGTTTCAGTTTTGTCGTCTCTAATATTAAGGAGGCTGACTGTTCTTTGGAGAATTTGTTAGCTATAAATGTATTCTTGTTGTGTAATAATAATATAAATTTAGCTTCCTAGGAAGTTAATGAGCTGATACTGTTAAGAAATGAGACACTTGGGGGAAAAGATGACACCCATCATTACAGGATCACAATGTGTTATGGAGAGATGGCCAGAAATGCTTAGGGTACTTTCAACAGTATTTTGCTACTAACCTACCTTAGGCTGCTTCTGTAAATCTTCAGGATCTCAGTTTCATCACCTGGGAAATGAATGGATACATGAACTCCCATTAAAATCCTCATTCTGTGAATAATGTGGAAAAGGAAAATGTCACCAGTATTTACCTATCTCCAGTGGACAGTCTGAGTGCTCATATTAGGTAAACATTAGTACTTTTGTTTGGGTATCTGATATTACTGGCTGTGGTGTGAATTTCCTAAATGAGCCATAACTTGACATTACATGCATTTAAAATATTTGTATAACTAGAGACTTACGTTCTAGTTCTTACTTTCTTTTCTAAATTACCTTATGAGTTGTACGATCTTTATAAATTTTAATTATCTTAACAAGTAGACTCAGATGAGAGAATGGACAGGGATCGGAAGGGGGGAGGATGGCTAAGAACTTTCAAGAGGAAAATCAGTCAAACTTTTAATCTGTGGACTTAAGTTCAAAGGTAGGAGGTAAATGCAGGTTGCAGAGAAAGCAGAGAGCAGGCACCTTCAACAAGAATGCAAGTAAAGTTTTGTATGTTTTTGATACAGGGTTTCGTGTGTCCCAGGCAGGCCTCCAACTCACTGTGTAGCAGCTGAAGACCTTGAACTGCTGATTTTCCTGCCTCCACCTGCCATATGCTGGGATTGTAAGTGCATGCCATGTTTATGCAGCACTGGGTATCAAACCCAGGACATGCCAGGCAACTTCTCTGCCAGCTAAGCTACATCTCCAGCCTGAGAAAATTTGCTAATAAACCTTTAAGGACTGACAACTGTAACTCTGTGCTGCTTTTCCAGGCTGAAGAGCCATTTGTTGGCAGTTTGAATACAGTGTTTTTCCAGTATCAAGTCCTCAGTATCTGAACCAATAGTAAACCAATCTATACTGCACCAGCTTGCTCACTACATGTGCTAGTCAGCCTTTCACTGCTATGAAAAATTCCTGATAAAAATGACTTAAGGAAGGATTTACTTTGGATCATAGTTTCAGTTCATGGTTGGCTGCTCCATTGCTTTTAGGCCCATGGTAAGGGACAAACATCATAAAGGAAGGGCACCGGGGGAGGAAAACTACTCCTCTGATGATGGCCAGGAAGCAGAGCATGAGAGGGGGACTGGGGAAAAGGTAAAGCCTTTCAGAGCACACAAGAGCAGACCCTAGGTGACCTAATTCCTCCAGCTGCATCCCATTTCCTAGTTCCCACTTCCTCCTAAAAACACCATCTAATTGTGACTCCATCAATGATCCAATCAGTTCCCCAAATCTCCATCTCCGAACATTGCATTAGGCACAATGGGGGGAGGAAAGTCATATTCAAATTGAAATACCAGTACCACATGAGATCTTATCAACTGCTTTAGAAATAGTTCCTACTATATTCCTGTAATTTACTTTCCAATTCAATAAAATAGACACCGAAAGCTTATTACGTGCACGGTGGTACAAGGAAGATTTGGGCTGCACATCAGAGGTTCGTTCGTGCTTCACTCTAAGTTCTTCCATGTATGTTCTTGCAGCACTGGTTAACTTTGGACTCCAAGGAAGCCTTTCTGGTCAAAGGACTAGCTCTATGAGCATGCAAATGAAGTAATCGTCCAACCAATCACAGGAGGTGTAGGATAACTGAACAAGCCAAGTAGGCATTTCAACAGAATGGACTTAAGGTTTTGGGCTCTAGGCTCCACCATGCCACTGGGAATGCAGAGAGTTTGAAAGAAGCCTTTGCAAGTAAAAATCACAGAAAGCTTGTGAGGCCAGTGGGCTTGGCATGGTTTATATAAAGGTCTCAGAAAATAGAAGGTGATGAGAAGATGGGTTCTTCATTCAGTCCATCATCATCCATTTATTTACTCGAGAAATGAATGTTGGGGTGTCTTGATGTAGAAGATAGACCGAGAGATGAACAAAATGGACCCAAATTCCTGTCTTCTTACCGTGCGTTTCAAGTAGTGGAGTTTGTGTTTTCTAGTGGATTACAGAGTAACTACTCTTAGTAGGTTATGGAAGATTACCTGACAAGAGTGGAGAGCACTTTGGGAAAACTGATAGAGCTGGTGAGGAAATGACAGAAAATACAGTGCAGTGTGATGGAGTGCTGTGCCCTTTGGGGGCTCCCTGACACTCTGTTCCAAGTGCAATAGTCTATTTCAACTACTCGGGGAGTGAACAGTGAGGTAGGCAGGCAGATGGAAGGCAACATTGCATGATGCTTCTTTCAGTGCCTGTAAGCATTGACTTTAATAAATAAATATTGGTGAGACCTGCGAACACATTATGTAGAACTTTGGAGAAATCAGTTTGAATTGGATTCAGTCACTGGAACTGTGCTGTAAGTTCTAACTATTCCCTTAGCATTAACTTGAAAATTTTTAAATTAAAAATAATTAAAATTACTTTTGAAATATATGTACTTTGCACATGCAAATAAAAATTAATCTTACATGAAGCCTACAATAAACAAAAGGAAAATTAATGTAGTATTTTCCTTTTATGAAACTAAAAATGATAGGATTTCAGAAATGTGAAGATTATAATTCTATACATGTAATGGTGACTTGGAGATATCACTGGGAATTAAATTCTTGAGACTTGAAATACAAATATGTCCTTGTGGTTTTAGACGCAGTCTTTTTTAAATAAGATAAACAGAGATATCAAAGACAGTGGGGCATAAATAGTTCGTCATTTTGCTGTCTGTATGAAAAGGGAAG